CCATTGTATGTGTCTACCACACCTTCTCTATCCGCTTATCTGTTGATGGACATGTTCTGACTGTTGTGAACAGTGCTGCTATGAACATAGGGATGCAAGTATCATTTTGTATTCTAGCTTGTAGATCTATGCCTAGGAGTGGATTCTTGGATTATTTGGTAATTCTATTTTTACTTTCCTGAGTGTTTGTTTCTGATAGGACAACTTCTGTTCACTCTCACCAACAGTGCAGGAGGGGTCTCTTTCCCCATACCCTCCTACAGCATTTGTATTTGTAACAAGTGGCCAATGACGGCCATTCTGACTGCTGTGAAGAGGTACCTTATTGTAGCTTTGACTCACATTTCTCTAATAATTAGTGACGCTGAGCATCTTTTCATGTGCCTGTGGCTGTGTCTCTTTGAGAAATGTCTTTAGGTCTTCAGACCATTTTTTGTTTGGGTTGTTTTTTGTTGTTGTTGAGTTTTATGAGTTATTTATTTTGGAGATAAAGTAGGGCAGCAGTTCTTAAGGTAGGGCCCAGGGAACCTCAGACTGGACTATGATGTCCCATGAAACTATTTTCATAATAATATGACGTTACTTTGTTCACTCACACCGTCACAAATGTACAGTGGAGTTTTCCAAAGGCTACATGACATGTTACCTCACATCATGTATGAGAATCAACCTGTTTCTTATTCAGTCAGACATTAAATATGTTTCAAAAATGTAAAGTATGCCACTTTTTCTTAAAGCAAATGTAAACTTTTTCACTTTTTCATAAAATTGTTTATATCCAGGGACTTCCCTGGTGGCCCAGTGGTTAATACTCTGCAATCCCACTGCACGAGCTGTGGGTTTGATCCCTGGTCAGTGAACTAAGATCCCACATGCCACAGGATGCAGCCAAAAAAAAAAAAATCCAATAGGTTTATTAACATTGAATTATTAAAGTTTCCCAAAATTAGATTTCAAATAGGGTAAACACAGAAAGATATAACCTTATAACCTACATAAAACAAAAGCTCTCTGGCATCTTCCATTTTCAGTGCAAAGGGGCCTTGAGACCAAAAAGTTTGAGAAGAACTAATCCAGGGAAAAACAAAGTCTCAGAGAACGGCTGTCTCTGGGGCCCTGTGCTCAGGAAAGCAGTCGGTGGAACGGGCTCTGAACAGAGCAGGCCATGAAGCAGGCAGATTTTCTGCTGATAACTAAAGACAAAGTCTTAAAATATGAAAAGACACCAGATAGCAAGTAGTAAATAGCAAAGGATGTTGATGGTTACAAGGATAAAGACTGGTTTTAAGACCAGTGCCTGTTACAGCTGACGCTTGCCTTTTGAACCTAAGTTGAGCAGCAGGCGAGAGGAAGAAGAGCTATCAGGTCCAAGGGGCCGCGCCTCACAGGCCACGTTCTAGAGCCTGGCGTGACCAGCCCACAGAGCGCGCTCAGTGAGTAAAGAGGCTGCGCCTCACAGGCCGCGTTCTAGAGCCTGGCGTGACCAGCCCACAGAGCGCGCTCAGTGAGTAAGGAGGCCGCGCCTCACAGGCCGCGTTCTAGAGCCTGGCGTGACCAGCCCACAGAGCGCGCTCAGTGAGTAAGGAGACACCTGACTGGCTACAAAAGGGAGTGAGGAAACCGAGTAATGTTGAGAACAAAACAGCCGTGTCAAGAAAGGCTTGTAACAGGGGGACTTATTCTAGAGTCGGTTCTCAGGAAAGTTGAAGAAATGAGCAGACCTGAGATGCAGAGCCATCTCACATCCCCAGTCAACCTCCCTCCCCTCTTTGCCTCCTCTTGATCCCTTCAAGTCTGATAAAGGAGGCCACTGGCAATCATTCCATCTCAAGTATCTTAATATCCTAAACTCACTATGACCTAGACAGAACTCTATTCTAACCCCGCATCTCCCTCAGACATGTGCTTCTCCTGCACACTTCAACCTAATATGGTTCTTGACTCCTTTCCCCCTCAGGCTTTCCACATAATCCTCCAGCCCGTCCTGTGGTTCTACTTCCAAAGCACATTCTGAATTTATCCACTTCTCTCCATCCCTACTCGATCACCCTAGTCCAAACACTTGGATTAATCCTAATGGAATGTAGCTTGTCTCCCTTCTTCTCTTTTGGCGCATCCCCCTTCTCCCTACAATCTATTCTCCCCCCAGGACCCAGATCAGTTTTTCTTTAATATGCCCATCAGATCATGCTTGCCCTTAAAAAAAAAAAAAAATCCACAAATGTTCCCACCAAGCCTACAATAAAACCCTAACTCCTTACCCTCATCTACAAAGTCCTCTCCCACACCTGCCCACCCCATCTGGCTCCCACCTCCTATGCTGCAGTCACACAGGCCTTCCTATCTTCTCAAATGCAAAACTCCTTCCTGAGTTCAGTCCAGCCTGAGGGCCTCACATTCTCTGGAACACTCACCCGAAGAATATTGATTTTGCTGCTCTTTTCAGTCAGCTCAGTTGCTCATCGTGTCCAGCTCTTTGCAACTCCATGGACTGCAGCACGCCAGGCTTCCCAGTCCATCACCAACTGAGCTTGCTCAAACTCATGTCCATTGAGTCAGGTGATGCCATCCAACCATCTCATCCTCTGTCGTCCCCTTCTCCTCCTGCCTTCAATCTTTCCCAGCATCAGGGTCTTTTCCAATGAGTCAGTTCTTCACATCAGGTGGCAAAGTATTGGAGCTTCAGCATCAGTCCTTCCCATGAATATTCAGGACTGATTTCCTTCAGGATTGACTGGTTTGATCTCCTTGCAGTCCGAGGGACTCTCAAGAAGAGTCTTCTCCAACACCACAGTTCAAAAGCATCAATTCTTTGGCACTCAGCTTTCTTTATGGTCCAACTCTCACATCCATATGTGACTACTAGAAAAACTTCAGCTTTGACTAGATGGACCTTTGTCGGCAAAGTAATGTCACTGCTTTTTAATATGCTTCCTGGTTTGTCATAGCTTTTCGTCCAAGGAACAAGCATCTTTTCATTTCATGACTGCAGTCACCATCTGCAGTGATTTTGCCCTTTTAGCCCATTAAAGTCTTATCTCAGTGTCACTGCTCACCTTTTCAGCAGCCTTTCAGGTCACTTTCACTAAACTAGCTCTACTTCCCATTTAATGTCAATCTAGCATTCTGGTTCCTTTTTAAAAAAATACTTATTTTATGTGGCTGCACTGGTCTTAGCTATGGCATGCAGGCTCTTTCAGTTGCAGCATACAGGATCTCTAGTTACAGAATGTGGGATCTAGTTCCCTGACCAGGGATCAAACCTGGGCCCTCTGCAGTGGAAGCAGGGAGTCTTACCCACTGGGCCACTAGGAAGTCCCTCTGGTTTCTTTCTTAACAGCATTCATGACCTGAAATCTTCTTGCTTCTCTATTTACTTGCTCCATGAGAACAGGACCTTGTTGATCTTCTTCATCATTGTATCCTCTAAGCTCAGAAAAGCAAGAACAGTGCCTGACCCACAGTAGATATTTAATAAGCATTAAATATTCAGTGAATCACACAATGCTGTTACATTCAAAGATCCACACCCCCGCCTCCCTCCGGCAAACTGACCTCAAAAGAAAAGCAAGGTATTTACCACACATACATAAACATTACAGAATCTCAGGCTTGGCTTCAGAAAGCTTAGGACTAGGTTAACACACAGTGTTATTCCCTGTATCAAATTTTACAACTGATCTTGATATTTGCACTATCTGAAGAGGAGCTCCCTTTCAATTCTGCATCTACTTAACATATATTAACAATGTTATTATGTACAGATCTTTTTTTCAACAATGCTTTAAGGTTCACCAGTATACTAGGTGGAGAAGGCAATGGCACCCCACTCCAGTACTCTTGCCTGGAGAATCCCATGGATGGAGAAGCCTGGTAGGCTGCAGTCCATGGGGTCGCTAAGAGTCAGACACGACTGAGTGACTTCACTTTCGCTTTTCACTTTCATGCATTGGAGGAGGCAATGGCAACCAACTCCAGTGTTGTTGCCTGGAGAATCCCAGGGACGGGGGAGCCTGGTGGGCTGCCGTCTATGGGTTCACACAGAGTCGGACATGACTGAAGCGACTTAGCAGCAGCAGCAGCATACTAGGATCCTCTGAGAAACTGAATCCAGTAGAACTTTTCTGGTACATGGTAGTACTTCAGTAAGGATACTCAGTAAGATTTTATGTGTTCTCTCTGTACAACATTACCAAAGAAATATTCTTCTCTGGCTTCAAATAAGGTAATACTTTTGAAGTATCAAAAATAAACCAATTCTTAATGGGGAGGGAGGTGGGAGAGGGGTTCAGGGTGGGGAACACATGTACACCTATGGAGGATTCAAGTCAATGTATGGCAAAACCAATACAATGTTGTAAAGTGAAATAAATAAATAAATAAATTTAAAAAATAAAAAAATAAACCAATTCTTACAAGAAGACAAAAGAATAAATGGAAGCTTTTGTTAGTGAAACAAGTCAATTTATTATATTTCCAACAAGGCCTTTTATTCTCTATAATGAAACATACTACAATATTTTACAATATAATTTAGTTTTTTAATATCTCAGAAAGGAAACTATTTTTTTTAGGAAAGTAAATATTTTGGGAAGAATAACTACAAGAAGTTACTTTTTCAATTTTAATACAGTAACAGCTTGCCTCCCAGGTATATTAACCAGCATTTTTTCCCTTAACAAATCCATCAAGTAAATATTAGCCAACAAAAAACCTACTTTTAGAAAATGAGGCAGGAAATGCATATATTTAAATAGGAAACGAGCAATCTAAAATATCAATCACATGTCACTTTAACAAGGCAATGTATTTACATAATTAGGTATAAATTATTAATTATGCTGATTAAGGTCCTAGCAAAGACTCAATTGGTCTGACTGTATCTCAAGCTCAAACAGCACTCACCTGGCTATTAAGTTAAACATCACAATGGAACTGGGTCTGTTTAAGGGGGAAAAAAATCTCAATATTGCACATCTTGTCATTAGAAACAAGGATCATTAAGTCAGGGCCATCTTGGTTCTGAATCGCTCCATTTTTGTTGGAAGAAGACTTACCATCTCTTTGCTAAGCTCTAGCTCAACTTCTATTTCCTGGGCAGCTTCAGGGTGCTTCTCACAGTAATCAACAATAAATCTGTAATGTTCCAATGATGTTGCCAAATTTTCTAGCTCTTTCTTGGGATCTGCAGTGATGATTTTGCCATAGAGGCGGGCAACTCGAAACTTAGCTAACATGGCAGGACGAAGAACATCTTCCCCTATATGCTCAGGAAAGACTTTATTTGGGTCTCTTAGAGAGTCTAAGAAGAGCTGATAGTACTTCAGTGCTGACTTATTCAGATTATTGATTTTTTTCACAATGTGTGAATCAGGATCCCTCAGCTTGTCAGCTATGGCAACCTTCAGATCCATCATATCATAGTAAGCATGTGCAATTTCAAACTGAATCTGTCTGTTGACCAACAGGTAATACTGTGGATTGAGGTCCACCATCAGGGGCTCTAGCATAGCTATTCTGCGTTTATGCATCTTGCACCGTCTTTCCATGTCAGTTTCAAAGAATGCAAGCACCTTAAACAGAGCACTGTGGTCTTGGACAACTTCAATATGGTCAGTGACATAACCATCAATCTGAAAGAACTCTTTTGCCTCAAAGACATAGTGCTGGCCCGTTAAAAAAAGCTCTCTGGCTTCTTCAAAATCTAAAGGTCTCAGATAGCTCACTTTCTCTTCCACTGCAGAGATGGCATCACACAGTTCACCGGTTCCAAACTGCACAGCTTTTTTCCTAACTCTTTCTTCCTCATCTAGTTCTTTTTTTCTTAAAGCTCTAAGTTCAGATTGTTTATCAAGATCAAGCTCTCCTATGTTGTCCTGAAAGAAAAAAATAAATTATGGTTAAGGAAGACAGACACTGACTTGTCTCCTGCTGTCAGTACTAAAGCAAATTTAAGATCCCCTGGAGAAGGGAATGGCTACCCACTCCAGTATTCTTGCCTGGAGCAGTCCATGAGCAGAGGAGCCTGGCAGGCTACAGTCCACAGGGCTGCAAAGAGTCGGACACAACTGAGCAACTAACACACAAGACAAGAAAACCCTCTTACTTCCCAGCCTGGGAGAGGGAGGTATTACAATCACATCTTTTAGTCTCTCAGTTGTGTCCAACTCTTTGTGACTGTACGGACTGTAGCCTGCTAGGCTCCTCTGTCCATGGAATTTCCCAGGCAAGATTACTAGAGTGGGTTGCCATTCCCTTCTCCAGGAGATGTTCTCAACCCAGGGATCGAACCAAGATCTCCCACACTGCAGGCAGATTCTTTATCATCTGAGCCACCAGGGAAGCCCACATCTTTTTAAAGCTCTTAGTTTTTTTTAATATTTATCTACTTTTTTTAAAATTTGACTGATCCAGCTCCTTAACTGTGGAATGTGGGATTTTTTAGTTTGTGGCAAGCAAATTCTTACTTGCAGGCATTTGGGATCTCGTTCCCTGACCCAGGGATAGAGCCCAGGGCTCCTGCATTGGGAGTGTGAAGTCTTAGCCACTAGACCACCAGGAAATCCTGACTTCTTTCTAGTTATATTCCAAGTAATTAAAAATGAAAGAAACTAGGAAAAAAGTAAATAACACAACTAAACTGTTTATTACTTTCCTCTTGGGGGAACTAACTCATTTATAGTTACTCCTTCAGATAACATAAATGCATACGAAAACTGTAAGAGCTATGAAATATTATATACATGTAATACATTGTTAGTATTGATAATTTTAACATTAGAGTAAGGCTGAAATCAGTCTTAAAAATATTGCAAAGAAATTCCATTAAGATTAACAGCATGATGTTTATGCTAAGTTATTTAATAAAATATACTACAGAGAAATGCTCTAGGTCTCTCAAAGATACTAAAATAAAGACAGTGTTAAATCTACCATCATAGTTAAAGTTATCTCCCCTACCTCCTGGGGCAAAAAAAAAGAGGAAGGAACTAAGATGGCTGAAAAATAGTCAGTTCATTCTCTTCTTCCTGGATGATAAAATTAAACATCAGATAACCAGTGGTCAGCCCCAAGGCCAGTTCTTCATTCATTTGAGGTCCTCTCTCTAGATCTGCATTGTTCAGAATAGAGTCATGTGCGATGCTCGGATGACTACTGAGCATTTGAATTGTCCAAACTGAGATGTGATCGGTGTAAAATAATACACACCCAATTTCCAAGATTTAATACAGATTATAAAATAGTGCAACAACTTTTTAGTATTAATGACAAATGGAAATGAGTATTTCTTTACATATTCTAGGTGGAAGAAATACAAGTTAAAATTCATTTCATCTGCTTTCTTCTTTGTCTAATGTAGCCACTTCCCCGATAGTGCTAGTGGTGAAGAACCCACTTGCCAATGCAGGAGACATAAGAGACATGGGTTCACTCCCTGGGTCGGGAAGATCCCCTGGAGCACGGCATGGCAACCTACTCCAGTGTTCTTGCCTGGAAAATCCCAAGGACAGAGGAGCCTGGCAGGCTATAGTTCATGGGGTAACAAAGAGTTGGACACGACTAAAGCGACTTAGCACTGACCGCAGTGCAGCCACTAGACAACTGAAAGTGACGAATATAGCTGGTTTTCTATTTCTATTGCACAGCACAGCTCTACACAGGTGTCTCCATCTGTGCCCGTGGTTGCAACTGCCATCCTCAGGAGGAGGACCCACAAATCTTCAGCTACACCAGGCTCTTATTAGGCTCCAGACCCATAACTAAAGCTCCTTACACAACTCCTCCTCCTCTCAGAAGACTTAGACCCCTCATCCTCAATATGTCCACAATGGAACTCTCCCTCTTCTGCAAACAGGTTCCTATTCTACTCTTATTTTAGTGAAGGTCACTCCCTCGAGCTGGACAGCCAGCTGATGCAGGAGAATCATCCTTGATGTCTCTCTCCTCTCTTAGCCCACACTTCTTATCTATCATCAAATCCTTTGTCTTGCCCCCTAAATAACCTCTTGCACCCACTCTTTTCCACCATCTCTTCCTCCACTGTCCTAGCCAAAGCTCCCTTCACATCTCACCCCCACTGTTCCAGTGATCTAAGCAATCCTCCTCGTCCACGCCTGTCTTCCCTCAATCCTCCATTCTGCCACCTAAGTGATCAGTCCAAACCCTCCCGCCCCCAACCAAGGCTTCCAGTCATGGAAGACCCAGAATGTACCAGCCCCTTTCTAAGTCGGTCTTCTATCACACACGCTCACTCTGCTCCAGCCTCACAAACCTGGCTCCATCATTTCCATCACCATGCTCCCCACACCACAGAACTTTTCAACATGCCACTTCAGCTCCTTGGAATGCTGTGCTTTTTCTCCAGTCTAGAAATTCCTACGCATTCCCAGAGCTTCCTTCAGATGTTACTTCCTCCCATCGTGACTTCTCATATCTTGTGTTTCTCCTTTGTGGAACTTAACTAAAGTTGCACTTCCGTATGACGTAAACAACCAGGTCTGTTTTTGTTCATCATAGTACAATGACTACTATAAGCCTGTCAGAAATAAATACTTAAATTGTAGATGTTATTAAACAAATTAAAGAAGGCTTTTCAGGTAAGCAAATGATCAAAGGATGAAGCTAAGGTAACAAAGCCAGATTAAAGGAAATTAAGTAATTTAGAAGTTATGGTCTAAGTAATTTAGAAATGTGGTCACTATTTGAGTTTAAAACAAGCATGTGGTAAATTCCAGCGCCCAGTCTCGAAAGCATGGACTAAAGGAATGGTAAGAGTAAACCACAGGGCGCTTTGCTTGACACAATTACTTCAAATGCAGGCCTAAGTCTCTAAATCTTGTTTACTGACCATGCTTCCTGGCGGTGTGTTGATTTACACACTTTAAATTTAGACTGCTTTCTGAGAGGAAGAACACAGACAGATTTTCTGGGCTGCAATTTCTCTAGACATAAAACTCCCTATTTCTTCTCCCCACTTCCTTCCTTTTCCAAATATGCCTCATCTTTACCCTCTACCTCCAAAGTGCTCTCACCTTTGAAACACTTCTGTTTCTGGGGTTTTGTGGTTTGTCTGCTTTTATTTTGTATAGTAGTTTCACAAGGTTCTATATTTACTAGTAAAAATGGTTATACTTTAATGCATGTAAACAGAAAAGAGGCATAACAACTCCTCCAGGAAAGTCTCCAATGTACTTTAGAATATGCATCCAAATAATTTATTTTCCTCTGAAGTGTTCGTGTCTCAGCCATGTCTGACTCTTTGTGACCCCAGGGACTGTAGCCCTCCAGGCTTCTCTGTCCATGGAATTCTCTAAATAAGAATACTGGAATGGGTTGCCATTCCCTTCTCCAGGGGAATCTTCCTGACCCAGGGATCGAACCTGGGTCTCCTGCATTGCAAGCAGATTCTTTACCGTCTGAGCCACCAGGGCTCTGACTAGGAACTAGAATCCATTAAGTATGGATTAGTAATAATGGTATCAACAATGATAGTTAACATTGATTGAGGACTTAGTTACCTCTTGGACACTTTTCTGAGCCCTTTTTTAACTCACTATTATTATCTCCATCTAACTTGTGAGGAAACTGAGACACAGAGAAGTTAACTGCCATGGATACACAGCCACAAACTAGCAGGGCTGTTTCCAGATACATTTATACTTACATTTTTATCAATATGTGTATTTACTGTCTAAAGTATATGAAGATTAGTAAGATTTCCTGCCATCAGGTTGCTTACAGTCTAAGAAGGGGTAAAGGAATAAGATAAGAATATGAATAAGGATAATACAAAGTCAAGTGACTTAGGAAGGGTTCTTAAAGGAGGGAGAAGAGATTTGTAGGGTTTAAGAATCGTATATACATTCAATAGTTTTTGAACACCTGTTATGTCTAGACATCGGTACATAGTATGAATATGATGAAGACTCCCCTCTGGTGGGGCTTATGCTCTATCCAATGGCAAGTCTTGAAGGAAGAGGTGCTGTTTGAGACAGCCTTAATGGATGAGTAAGATTTGAACAGGCTGAGACAGGGAAAGCAAGAAATAAGCCTTCTGCGTGCCATGAATAATACACACGCAGTGAGTCCAATGAGCTTACTTCCCATTTTAAGCCTTTAGTTACATCCTGCTGTTTAAGACAGAAAAGATCACTTTTGACTGTATTACCTGCATGGAAAGTTGGGCATTCTGCATGAGAGTCAAACAGTACTTGATCCAGCATCTTGCTATTTCCCCTTTTCTTTGGTGATAAAGCTCTGGCACATTTCCTTCAGCTTCCGTAGCTAAAAGGTACAAGGTGACTTGTGTAAGCCAATGGTCACAACTGTAATTTTCATTGTGTATGCCATTCTTCTTTATATCACTCTTGATTTTAAAAATAACAAGTCCTAACTGAAGCAGTGGGAAGAAACAAACCCAAAATTCCTACCACCCAGAGATTCTTTCTAGTTTTTTTCTTTAGTATTACCTACAGGTAAAAACTAAGGTCACCACATATCTTAAATTTTGCATACAAGCACCTCAGATATTGCAGGATTGGTTCCAGATCACTGCAATAAAATGAGTCTCGTGAATTTCTGTGGCTTATAAAAGTTAGGTTTGCACTACAGTGTAGTCTATTAAGTGTGCAATAGCATTGTCTTAAAAATGTACACATTTTCATTAAAAAATATTGCTAAAAAAAAGCTAAACATCATTTGAGGCTTCAGAGAGCCATAACCTCCTTCGCTAGTTAAGAGGGTCCTGCCTCATCGCTGATGGCTGCTGACTGATCAGGGTGCTGGTTACTGAAGGCCGAGGTAGGGAGGCTATGGCACTTCCTTAAAACGAGAGAGAAGTCTGCTGCACTGATGGACTCTCTCCTTCAGGAACAATGTCCTCTGTGGCATGCAATGCTGTCTGATAGCGTTTTACCCACGGTAGAACTTCTCTCAAAAATTAGTCAATCCTCTCAAATCCTTGCCCCACTTTATCAGGTTTATGTCATATTCTAACTCCTCTGTCGTCACTCCAGCGATTTTCACAGTAGCTTCACCTGAAGCAGATACCATCTCAAGAAACCACCTTCTTTGCTCATCCCTAAGAATCAAGTCCTCAGCTCTCAAAATTTAGCATGAGATTGTAGCAACTCAGACAAACCTTCAGGTTCAACATTTTTTAAATCTTTATTTACCTATTTATTCAGCTGCACTGGGTCTTAGTTGTGACACATGAGAGCTTTAGTTGTGGCATGTAGAATCTAATTACCTGACAAGGGATCAAATGTCAGTCCCCTGCATTGAGAGCATGGAGTATTAGCCACTGGACCACCAGGGAAGTCCCCTAGGTTCAACTTTTAATTTTAGTTCTCATGCTATTTCTACTATATCTGCAGTTACTTCCTCCACTGAAGTCTTGCAACCCTCAAAATCATCCCTGAGGGTCTGGTCAACTTCTTCCAAACTGCTGTTAATATTGATATTTTGACCTCTTCCCATGAATTACAAATCTTCTTAATGACATCTAGAATGGTAAATCCTTTCCAGCAGATTTTCAAGTTACTTTGCCCAGATATATGAGAGGAGTCACATCTATGACAGTGATAGCCTCATGATTTTTTTCTTCAAATAATAAGACTTGAAGGTCGAAATGACTCCTTGATCTATGGGTTACGGAATGAATGTTGTGTTAGCAAACAACATTAATCGTAAGTACATCTCCATAAGAGCTCTTGGATGACCCAGGTAGACTGTCAATGATCAATAATACTTTGAAAGGAATTTCTTTTTTTTTTTTTTGAACAGTAGGTCTCAACGACGAGCTTAAAATTTTTAGTAAACCATGTGTTGTCATCCAGGTTTTGTGTAATCAGCGTAATTTTTAAGGACCCCAGGATTTTCAGAATGGTAAAGTCACCAGCTACACTAGCCCCAAACAAGAGAGTCAGCAGCTTGTCCTTTAAAGCCAGGACCTGACTTCTCTCCAGCTGTGAAAAGTCCTAGATGGCCTCTTCTTCCAACAGAAGGCTGTTTCAGCCACACTGAAAGTCTGTATAGTGTAGCCACCTTCATTAATGATCTTAGCGAGATCTTCTGGATAACTCGCTACTTTACCTTACCCTTTCATGTTATGGAGACGGCTTCCTTCCTTAAATCTCAACTGCAAACTTTTCTTCTGTAGCTTCCTCACCTCTCTCAGCCTCCACAGAATTGAAGAAAATTAGGGCCTTGCTCTGGATTAGCCTTTGGCTTAAGGGAATATTGTGGCTGGTTTTACCTTCTATCCAGACCACTAAAACTTTCCCCATTATCAGCAGGAAGGCTGTTTTGCTTTCTTATCATTCGTGTGTTCACTGGAGTAGCACTTTTAACTTCCTTCAGCAACTTTTTCTTTGCGTTCATAACTTGGCTAACTTGCACAAGAGTTCTGGCCCATTTTGACATGTGTTCCTCACTAAGCTTAATCATTTCTAGCTTTTAGCTTAAAGTGTGAGATATGCAACTCTTCCTTTCACTTCAAGACACAGCATTATTAAAATTAGATCAGTAGGGTTATTAACTGATCTAATTTTAATAACGCTGTGTCTTCAGGAAATAGGGCGGTCCAAGGAGAGGAAGCGAGACACAAGACAATGGCCAGTCAGTGGAGCAATCAGAACACATTTACCAATTAACTTTACCATCTTATATGGACATAGTTAGTGGCACCCCAAAACAATTTCAACAGTAAAATATCATTGATCACAGGCCATCATAACAAATAACAATGAAAAAGTGTGAAATATAGGCATTACCAAAATGTGACAGACATGAATTGAGCAAATGCTGTTAGAAAAACAGTATTGATCAACTGCTCCCCAGTTGCCACAAAACATTTTCTTTTTTTTAACTCAGTGAAATGTAATAAAATGAGGTCTTCCCCGATGGCTCAGATGGTAAAGAATCTGCTCCCAAAGCGGGAGATCCAGGTTTGATCCCTGGATCGGGAAGAGACTCTGGAGCAGGGAATGGCAACCCACTCCAGGAATCTTGCCTGGAGAATTCCATGGATAGAAGAGCCTGGTGGGTTACAGTCTATGGGATCACAAAGAGTCGGACATAACTGAGCAACTAACACAACATACTTATCATCATCAACTCTTTAACGTCATTTTTAAGTATAGCATCATGTACAGTGAATTATATTTCTATACTTTAGTCATTCTTCTAATACTGGCCACTGTTTCTAACTCCTCTACTACAAACAACTCTAAACAGGAAGATCTCTGTGCACAGATTTCTCTGGATTTTCAACTATTTCCTTTAGATTCCTAGATGTGAAATTTACTGGGTCAGAGTTTATACCATTTAAAATGCTCTTGATACACACTGCCAAATTATTTTCAACAAATACTTAACAACATATAAAGCTGCTCAATAAAGTTATTTTAAAAACATCGAACATCGCCAATGTTTTAGCTTTCTACTTCGAAGAGTAAAAACAAAACATCTCACTGGAGGTTTAGTTCTCATTACCTATTTTTCTTTCTTTTTGAGAAATGCCTTTTAGACTTCAACCAATCAATGATTGAATGTAATAAGAGAGAAAAAATTTAATTTTATAATGTACAATCCTCTAACTCAGCCTCTGTATTCTTCTGATCCTTAATGATACATTGTTACTTTACTATAAAACTTGTTAGATGACTAACACAGTTTTTAAACTGAGATAACTGACATATAACATTATATTAGTTCCAGGTGTACAACATAATGACTTGACATTTTTAAATACTGTAAAATGATCACAACAGTAAGTCTAGCTAGAATCTGTCACTACACATAGTTAAATGCTTTTTCTTGGGATGAGAACTTTTAAGACCTACTCTGTTAGCAAATTTCAAATATGCAATCAATATATTATAACACATACCATGCTGTCCCTTACATCCCCATGACTTATTAATTTTATGACCCCCTTCACACATTCACCCACACCCACCTCTGGCAACCACTAATGTGTTCTCTGTACCTAGGAGATTTTTGGGTTTTGTTTTCTTGGATTCCACATGTAAGTGAAATCATACAAGGTGTGCTGTTTTCTGATTTCATGTAGTATGATGCCCTAAGGTCCATTCATGTTGTAAAAAAATGGCAAGATTTCTTCTTTTTCTCTTTCCTTTTCTTTGTCTCTATCTTTCTGCATACCACTGTAATAGCTAAGATTTACTTTTCACTTTCCAAAAAACCATGTTCTCCCCTAGTAAGAACACATACTTTAGGTATTTTAAGCATCTTGTTAGAAACCAACGCCCATTATCATGATGTTCAGCCTGTTGTTCAGAACAAGTTTGGGAAAACTTGTTCCCAAACCTGTAGGTTTGATTTTTATCTGTCCTGAGCCTTCCCAAGGTTGCAAAGCCCCCCAGCCCATTTCAGAGAGCAGAGATCAGGTCAGTGGCTCTACATGGAGAGAAGCAAGTTGCTCATCTCCCAGCAGTGATGTAAGTCACTGATCAGCTGGATCATCTCCTTCATATGAATGTTTGGTTCTATAGAAAAGGTAATTTTTAATCCCAACAGTAAAACTTTTCTACCTGGATTCTAAGGAAACAATATACAGCTGATTCTCATCATTTATGGTAGTTATGTTCTATAAAGTCACCGTGAATAATAAATTAGGGAATGCTAAAATATCACGCCTAGGGGAAACATAGAGTTAGGTTCTAATGAGCTTCTGGACACAATATTTTCATCAACTGATCAATATATAACCTTATTTTACACACATTTCTGTTTAAAGACACCTTATTTCATGTGTAACTGTTGACTCATTAACAATGAACTCATGGCCAATAGCACTGTCACCTGTGCCTGAATGAAGCTTTTCTAACACTGTATTTTCTCCAGAAGGTGCATCACAGCCTTCACGTGCTTACAAACACTAGATACCACCTCAGCACTACACCTGGGGGCCATTTTAAACAACAAAGTGCAGAACAATCTGAAAAATGTGGAACTAAATAGACCACAAAAAGGATACTTGCTTATAGTGTGAGGGCTTGAAATGAGAAGGCAGAGCGTTGCCTTGTTCAACTTCAGCAGCTGGTAATGTGCACCTCAAGTGTCTCAAACCCTCTGGCTCTCTGCAAATGACCACAGACGTGCCGCGAGTAGTAATCTTGGGGTTATAAGTAGATTGTAGCAAGTAGGCAAATTCAAAGACATGAAGCCCTTGATCTTTCCTTTTTAGACAGAGCTTATGGATTATAGCTTATGGATCTGAGTAACTGACTTCCTTAAGGTCTGGAAGCAAAAGTTACTGGACTGATACCTTACTAAAATGTGCTCCGAGGTCCTATGTGGGCATATTACTGCTTTGTTTTTTAATATTATAATTAAGAATGTTACGTTAGCATACAGCAGAGTAATTCAGTTATACATGCATCATTTTTCAAATTTTTTCCATTTAGGTTATTACAGCATATTGAGCAGGGTTCCCTGTGCTATCCAGTAGGTCCTTTCAGGTAACCTATTTTAAATACAGCAGTGTGTACATGTCAATCCCAAATTCCCAATCTAATCCTTCTCCCAATTTCCCCCCCTGGTAACCATAAATTTATTCTCAAAGTTGGGGAGTCTGATTCTCGCTTGTAAAGAAGTTCATTTGTATCATCTTTTTCAGATTTCACTTATAAGTGATATCATATGATATTTGTTTTTTTCTGTCTTACTTCACTTGGTATGATAATCTCCAGGTCCATCCATGTTGCTACAAACAGCTCACACATGATTCAACAACAAAACAACCTAATCAAAAAATGGGCAGAAGACCTGAATATACATTTCTCCAAAGACATTTAGATAGCCAAGAGGCATATGAAAAAATGCTCAACATTGTTACTTATTACAGAAATGAGGTATCCCCCACACCAGTCAGAATGGCCATTATCAAAAAGTCTACTAATAACAAATGCTGGAGAGGGTGTAGAGAAAAAGGAACCCTCCCACATTGTTGGCAGGAATGTAATTTGGTACAGCCACTATGGAGAGCAGTATGGAAAATCCTTAGGAAACTAAAAACAGAACTACCATATGATCTAGCAATCCCACTCCTGGGCATATATCTGGAGAAAATCACGGTTCAGGAGGATACATGCACTGCAGTGTTCATTGCAGCACTGCTGACAGTAGCCAAGTCATAGAAACAAGCTAAATGTCCACTGACGGATTAAATAAAGAAGGTGTGATACATACAGACACCGTGGAGTATTACTCAGCCATTAAAAAGACACTGCTAGCGAAGCTACCATCTGTGGGATTATGACTGAACACCTCGAAGTCAGAATCCCGCCCAGGCGGAACGATACGGCAGTGCCTCGGTTAGCCTCGGATAGCCGGTCCCCTGCCGTCCCCGCGTCCCTCGGGGCATGGCACGGCGCGCCCCGCTGCTCGTCGGAACCCGAGTCCGGTGCGGAGAGCCCTTCGTCCCGGGACACAGGGCGCGGCCGGAAAGGTGGCCGCCCCCTCGCCTGTCATGCACCGCACATTCGTGGGGAACCTGGTGCTAAACCATTCGTAGACGACCTGCTTCTGGGTCGGGGTTTCGTACGTAGCAGAGCAGCTCCCTTGCTGCGATCTATTGAAAGTTAGCCCTTGACACAAGGGTTTGTAAAAAAAAAAAAAAAAAGACACTGCTATATTTAAAATAGCTTACCTACAAGAACCTACTGTAGAGCACAGGGAACTTCGCTGTTTTCCAGAAACATAACACTGTTAATTAACTATACTCCAGTATAAAATAAAAATTTTTAAATAATTATAGGAAGTTCCAAAAGCAAAACTTGAATTTGCCACATGTTGTCCATTACTTATATAGCATTTACACTGTATTTAGTATTTGTAAATACTTTAGAGATGATTTAATGTATATAAGAGAGGATGTGTGTTGGTTATATGCATTATGACAGGAGCATCCAGAGGTGTCTGGTATCTGTGGGGGGTCCTGGAATCAATCTCCTGTGGACACAAAGGGGCAACTGCACCCAAGAATTACTGGATCATATATAGCTCTATTTTTAATTTCTTGAGGAGCCTCCATACAGTTTTTCATAGTGGCTACACCAATTTACAAACCCACCATAGTGCACATGGGTCCCCTTTTCTACATCTCCACCAACACTTGTTATTTCTTGTCTTCTTGATAATGGCCAATTAACAGATGTGAAGTGATAGCTTGTTTTGGTTCTGACTGGCTCAAATACAGAAGCTGACTGTGCTGTGATTTATAAAACTAAGTGAAACACTATAATTAAACTAGATATTTGGACACATCACATATATAGTATTCCAACCAAAAACGTATAATCTGAATCTTAGTGTAAGGAAACAAATATCAATTCATAGAAAATCTATGAAATAAGAGGCCTATATTTTTTCAAAAATGCCTGATGAAAGAAAAGCTGAGGGAACTGGTCCAGATTAAAGACGACTAAAGAGATGTGACAATTATTATGGAAAACAGTATGCAGGTTCCCTAAAAAACTGAAAATAGACCTCTCCTATGATCCTGCAATCCCACTCCTGGGCATATATCCAAAGAAAACCATAATTCAAAATGATATATGCACCCCAATATTCACTGCAGCACTATTTTCAATACCCAGGAAATGGAAGCAACCTAAATGTCCATAAACAGAAGAATGTATAAAGATCTGGTACATATATACAATGGATTATTGCTCAGCCATTTAAAAAAAAAAAAGGAATGAAATAACACCACTTGCAGCAACATGGATGGACCTAAAGATTTGAGTGAAGTTAAGTCAGAGAAAGACAAATATCATATGATATCACTTATATATGAAATCTTTAAAAATGGGACAAATTAACCTATTCATAAAATAGAAATAAAGTCCCAAATGTAGAAAACAAACTTATGAATACCAGGGAGGAAGGCAGGGCAGGGCGGGATAAACTGGGAGGTTGGGACTGACATGTACACAGTACTACATATAAAACAGATAACTAATAAGGACCTACTGTATACCACAGGAAACTCTTCTCAATAATCTGTAATGACCTATATGGGAAAAGAATCTTTACCATCTGAGCCACCAGCGTAGCCCCTGGGAAAAGAATCTAAACAGTATATCTTCGACAAAGGAGGCAAGGATATACAATGGAAAAAAGACAACCTCTTTAACAAGTGGTGCTGGGAAAACTGGTCAACCACTTAACTAGAACACCTTCTAACACCATACACAAAAATAAACTCAAAATGGATTAAAGATCTAAATGTAAGACCAGAAATTATAAAACTCCTAGAGGAGAACATAGGCACAAAACACTCTCCGACAAAAATCACAGCAGGATTCTCTATGACCCACCTCCCAGAATATTGGAAATAAAAGCAAAAATAAACAAATGGGACCTAATTAAACTTAAAAGCTTTTGCACAACAAAGGAAACTATAAGCAAGGTGAAAAGACAGCCCTCAGAATGGGAGAAAATAATAGCAAACGAAGAAACAGACAAAGAATTAATCTCAAAAATATACAAGCAACTCCTGCAGCTCAATTCCAGAAAAATAAATGACCCAATCAAAAAATGGGCCAAAGAACTAAACAGACAGTTCTCCAAAGAAGACATACAGATGACTAACAAACACATGAAAAGATGCTCATCACCACTCATTATCAGAGAAATGCAAATCAAAACCACAACGAGGTACCATTACACACCAGTCAGAATGGCTGCTATCCAAAAGTCTACAAGCAATAAATGCTGGAGAGGGTGTGGAGAAAAGGGAACCCTCTTACACAGTTGGTGGGAATGCAAACTAGTACAGCCGCTATGGAGAACAGTGTGGAGATTTCTTAAAAAACTGGAAATAGAACTGCCATATGACCCAGCAATCCCACTCCTGGGCATACACACCGAGGAAACTAGATCTGAAAGAGACACGTGCACCCCAATGTTCATCGCAGCACTGTTTATAATAGCCAGGACATGGAAGCAACCTAGATACCCATCAGCAGACGAATGGATAAGGAAGCTATGGTACATATACACCATGGAATATTACTCAGCCATTAAAAAGAATACATTTGAATCAGTTCTAATGAGATGGATAAAACTGGAGCCCATTATACCGAGTGAAGTAAGCCAGAAAGATAAACACCAATACAGTATACTAACACATATATATGGAATTTAAAAAGATGGTAACAATAACCCTATATGCAAAACAGAAAAAGGGACACGGATGTACAGAACAGACTTTTGGACTCTGTGGGAGAAGGCGAGGGTGGGATGATCTGAGAGAACAGCATTGAAACATGTATATTATCAAGGGTGAAACAGATCGCCAGCCCAGGTTGGATGCATGAGACAAGTGCTCAGGCCTGGTGCACTGGGAAGACCCAGAGGGAGGGGGGATAGGGATGGGGAACACATGTAAATCCATGGCTGATTCATGTCAATGTATGGCAAAAAACACTACAATATTGTAAAGTAATTAGCCTCCAACTAATAAAAATAAATGAAAAAAGAATCTAAAGAGCGGCTACATGTATATGTAAAGCTGATTCACTTTGATGTACAGCAGAAACTAACAACACTATAAATCAACTAGATGTCAATAAAAATTTTTTAAAGTACTAGAGAAACTAGTACTATAGAGAAACTGCTACAAAACACATCATGGAGACAGCTGCTAAATATGAATTATAGATAAAAGAACTGTATCAATGCTACATTTCCTGTTCTATGATTATGTAAGAAAATATTTCTAGGAAAAACTCACTGAAGTATTAGAGGGTAATGGAGCCTAAACATATCTGCAATGAGGCAAATATAAAAACTCGGTGAATTTAGATGGGCCTATGGTAATTCTTTGTTCTGTTCTTGAATTTTCTAAATTAACAGGATTTCAAAATAAAAAGATTTTTTAAAAAGTTATATAATGAAACATGTACACATAAACTTACTGTCTTCTGTGGTTCGGATCTTTCCAATTTGACCAAAAATGACATTAGCAGCAGATAAACAGTGTCTGGCTTCCATAAAGCATTGCTGTTGCAGAAATAAGAATAAACTCAATTATCACAAAACCTTATTTGCAATAGATACTTGCATAGTCTCTTAATATGGGAAAAGCTATAAATTCAGGTAAAAAACACTACTAAGGAGACCCTGTATGGTAACTAAACAAGAAAAGTATATGTCTGAATATTATTTGATTAAAAAACTATCTTAAAGATTAAAGTAACAATACCCTCAAACTCTTAATAATCCAAACTGCCTGGAAAAATACCTGCTGATTGAAAATTAGCTCCCCTCCAGTATTCAATCAGCAGAAAAGAACGGCTATCATCCTAGTGTCCTACCACGCCTCCGCATCCTTTAAGCTTCAGTCTAAATAGCCGAGGTTTCTGCATGAACAATTTTTAGACCATTTACATTCTGTCAAAGACTGGAAGATTTCATCTTTCTCAAGTTTAGAGATCCCTTTTAAATACAATCATTCAAAGGCAAACAGGATAAATTTTGATAAGAGATTCTGTCTTCTGAAACCTTTCCAATTTTACATAAATTAAGGCTTCCCACCAAGTTTTGAAGTCAACAGATTTCCAGAGATGAGCTCTGTGGAACTGCTTTACCGACAGTTGAAGACTTCGCAGTTCAGATGGGGGCGTGGTAAGCTTCTCAAACCCTTGGAGAAGATCTCCTCCTTACTTACTTTACATGTGTCATGTATGTCACAGGAATACTCAGCAGAAGTACCAAGTTAAAAGTCCAAATTTTAGTTGGAAGCCACCCTTGTTAAATATGTCTACTTCATATGAGTAACACTGATTTTGCCAAGGTGGTTTTTAACAGTTGAATATGACTTTAAAATATCAGCACTCAATGTATCCCCCCATTATGGTAAATTCAGAAGCCATCTTGAGAACAGCTGGGTACCATGTGAAGTACTAGACCAGCACTATCTACAGATCAAAATATTGGTATTAAACCTCAAAAACCAAAAGAAAGTTACAGTTTACATAAAGAAGTTTCAATTGTTGCCCTATAACTTGTTAATCATTATCACTTCAGCACTGTCCAGACTGGTCATCTGAAAGTAACCACTGTTAGAACTAACAGTGAGTGCGCATGAGGTCCTCTACGTGGCTGGTAAATGTGGGACTTTAGCACTTGCAAGGTAGGGACTCAGTATGTAGCAAAACCTCATGGAACCAGATGAAATGACAGTGATATAAATGACAATTGTATTAAAAAAAAAAAGGGCTCAAATCTCTCTGTGCATTATAACTTAGCTAGTTGGAAGAAAACTTACAAAACACTTTGGTTAAAAAAAAGAAAAAATAAAAGCACAGGGTAGGGGAGGTACTCGTGAAATTTACTGCATGCTCTACATAAGCAATGCTTAACAACTTTATAAACTTGTAATTACACTTTAATATCTGGATATCTTAGTACAATTACAGTGAATAATTTTAAAGTTGCTAAACAAAACAAGAGGCCTCTGGGAACTATTATTAAAAAAAAAAGGTGCCACAAGCAGAAGCACCAGGTAAGTTTTGATGATCACAATGAAATGAATTCATGAGATTTAGATTTAACTGAATGCTCTGATACACACAGTAGCGTTACTTACACGCTTGATCTTAGACCAAAGTCCTAGAAGCGATGCTGTAGTCACCACAGCCCTTTCTCTCCTGCTAATAGCTTTTCTGAATGAAATTCTGTGGGACAATACTTTAAACACAGGGCGCGTTTATAGAACCAGCACTAACAAAACACTCAGAAAGGATAATAGGCCCACTAAGGATACAGCAGCAGATAAACAGAGATCTAAGAAGGAACTCTGATAAGCAAAGAATTACCAAAGTTTCAGAGGCATGTGAATTCAAAATACAAAGAAAAGTTACTTCTATTACTGAGATATTGAGAATTAATATAAAATCTGGCTGGGAAAGGAGGCTTTAAAGTGTTTTGGCATTAAAAATTCTTGTAAGGGCTAAAAAATTTAGAAGGTCAATTAAGAATATATATACATAAAAAAATAAAAATACACATAATTCAGAATAATTCTGAAAGCAAGGAAGCTCAAATTTGTCCTTGTGTAATACTCTAGGAAAAAATATAACCACCTAAAACTCTGGAATTGAGCAAGACATTCCCAACATAGAACAAGTTTCACTAAAGGAGTTAATTCTAAAGAATAACTGAAAGCATCACATGCTTCTATCAAAGCCCACATTTAACAGTCAACTTCCTCAGACAAATTCTCACACTTGCCAGATTACCAATGCATAAAGATAAAGTTAAATCTACAAGATAAAATCTGCAATTTAAGGTAACAGAGATAGCCTGCCTGTATCAAAAAAGAATTGGTCTTAAGCAACATGTAGGACACGATAAAATTATTTTAAGATTTAAAAGGATTACTGCAACAAAAAGCTACAAACTTGAGTATACTGGCAAACTGGACTGCATTTTTCTATTTAGTTTACATCATAAACTACAAGCTATCTGTTTTTGAAAGATGACATTTTCAAGGTACTTTCGGTTCTATTTTTAGACACACTAACTGCTCTGAGAAGCTTACCTTATTGATGTAAAATTGTGACAAGGTAGCAGCATTAATAGCCCACTCCATAGGATGGTAGGCATTGTGCTCAAGCTGGCGTTTTAGGGTACTGTGGCAATAATGGGCAGCCTTCTCAAACATTTCCATATGCTGGTAGACTTGAGCCAGGTAATACAGATTATGAGTGTAAACCTTCTCAAATCTATAAAGGAAAAAATATCTCTGTAACAGTGTATAATTTATAAGTAACTTTCAAATCTATCAAATTTATAAGGAACTTTTTATCTTGACCCTCCAGTTCATATGACTACTGTATTTGACAGACAAGGAAACTGGGCCCCAGATATAAACAGGGTAACGCATCTAGAAAGTGGCAAATGAAGGTTTTAATCCACATCAGAATCCACATTCTATAACCTTTGCCTTGAAAGAGAAAATACTGAGCAATCATCTCAAATACACTATGTGGAAATACCTGTGAGGACTGATTTCTAGAGCTGCTCACCTTTTTGATCTCTCCTGTTCAGGAAGTTTCTCTTCTTCAGGAAGAAAATGCTCAGCAGGGTCAAGAGGAGGACTCCCAATCTGCAATCAAAGAAAAAGAAACTAAATTTTTACTGTAAACACCAAGCGCCGTCCTCTGGAGGAAGTTGAGAAATCAAATTTGATTTTATTTTAATTTTTACTTCATTTTTAACTAGTTCATTTTCACATACTATCCAAGAAGTAACTTCTTAACAATATTCTTAAAGTCAAACAAATTAAAAAGAGAATACATACAAGCTCACACTTAACGATACTTTAATTGCTGCTCAGGAGAACTTCAAATACACTTAAAAAATATTTCATTTTTAGAGATGTATAATTCTATAGGTATCTTAAGTCTTAATCTTGTCACAAACAAAAGCTCTTCTGAAAACTTACATAAGCATGGTGTATAACAAAATGTATATACGTCCTCAGAGCAATATTGTTCTAAGCTGACCACCAGTAAAAATCAAAGTTTCCAATATTTTTTCTAATATTGTCAGGGGAACAAGGATAGCATACACAGATTACCCCCCTTTCAACACAAGGAAATTAAAGTCAGTTATCCCATCGTTTAATTACCTTGGGCAAGTTACCCCATCTCTTGTTATGTTTCCTCATCCATAAAGTAAGGATAATAAACATCTACCTCAACAAGTAGTTATGAGGATTCACTGAGTTAATACGTATAAAAAACATAATCTCATCTGAGGTCTTCCAAAAGAAGCAGAACTCCTTAACCACTGCCTCATTCTACTTCCGGGAGGGCAGGCTTGTCTGCTTTAAACTGAATTCACTAACTTCAACCATGGTTTCCATTAAAAAAAAAAAAAAGTGATCTTATATTCCGGATGTAAACATTAAAAGGATCACAACTTCTGTTCCTAGAACTTACAAAAAGTAAAAATGGCTAAGACAGGAAGTAAGGCCTAAGGCAAACAAAATATTCTTCAGAAACCTCCTTAACAACTTTGAGGGCTGTTTTGAATGCTTAGCCCTGTACTGACGAGAGGAATTAATGTATTTTTTTATGTACATACTATATCACACTTCATACTGTAACACAAACCAGTCTTCGAGTCAAACCAGTCTCTTAAATTAAAAAGAGGTACAATTAAGAACAAAGAATTCTGCTATGTGTTTTGTTTTTATATTAATACTAGTAGTTAATGAAATATAGGCAATTAATAATAGTGTTAAATGAAATACTTAATGACATTAAATGCTAATTAATACTAGCATTTAATGAAATACAATCTTCACATTTTAAACTAACAATGTCATGTGTAAGACTATGATCCTAAATTCATAAAGGAAACAAACACATCAATCTGGCTTTGTGAGGCTCTGCCCTTAGCACTTTATGAGGAAATTTTAAAAACTAAGGTAGAATATCCACAGCTTTTAAAATTCAATTTGGTGATATATTCCTCATAAAAAGTGTTAATGGCCTAAATATGAACATTCAAAATGTACGTTAAACTAATCAAAAATGGTCAGACAATCTAAAAAATACCATTTTCTGAAAAGAAAAACACACAGCTAAGAGGCACATGAAAACATGCTCAGAACTGTTTTTTAATAATTATTTAAAAAATTCAACTCAGAATTAAAAATGAGACATGATCGCAAACCACTCATCAAAATTTCTACAAATAATAAAAGCTAAAGAGGGTGTACAGAAAAAGGAACACTTCTACACTGTTAGTAGCAAAGTAAATTGGTACAACTATTATGAAAAGGAGTACGAAAGTGCCTTTAAACGCTAAAAGAACACAGCTGCCATATGACCCAGCAGCCCCACTCTTAAGAGTCTCTGGGAGAGACGCGGACTTTGAAAAGACACAGGCACGCAAATGTGCCCCGCAGCACCTTTCACAACAGCCAAGACATGGAAGCAACGAATGTTCACGGACTGACGAACAGATAAGGAAGTGGAACATGTTCACAATGCAACTTGACCCAGGCATGAAACAAGTAATCATGCCAACTGGCAGAACCTATGTGAAATAGAATCCTACTACATGAAGTCAGAAAGGCAAAAATTTTATATCACTTGCAGGTATAATCTGCACACCCCATGAACTAATTGGGAAAACAGATTCAGACACTTTAGAACCAAATTTACGGTAACAACAGGGGAAAGAAGCAGGGAAGGGGTAAATTAGGAGCTTGGGATGAACAAATACAATCTATTACCCATAAAACATAATTAACAACAAGTGATATTTTACAAAGGAAGACCTAGTTAACACTCTTTAGTAACCTATATGGGAAAAGAATCTGAACATACAAAGATGTATGTATATGTGTAACAGGAAGATTCTGTACACCTACATCACCCACATGTATTTAAAAGTTACTCCAATAAAAAATTAAACATTTAATACAAAAGAGAGCTACCCAAAGGCAAGTTTTGGGGTGCTTCTTCTGGGGCATTCCACTCTACAACCCAAAAGCAGGACTTGCTCTAAGGTTCAATGTTGGCTTGGGGCGGGGTTGGGGGGGGCGGGGCGCGGACAGGACTGGGGAATGAAGAAATGCTGCCCACCTGTGGCCGCTTCAGGCAACAGCAACTTCAAAACTACTGCCTCAGTTCAGTTCACTTCAGTTGCTCAGTCGTGTCCGACTCTTTGCCACCCCACGGACTGCAGCACACCAGGCTTCTCTGTCCATCACCAGCTCCTGAAGTTTAGTCAAAGTCATGTCCATCGAGTCGGTGATGCCATCCAACCATCTCATCCTCTGTCGTCCCCTTCTTCTCCTGCCCTCAATCTTTCCCAACATCAGGGTTTTATCAAGTGAGTCAGCTCTTCACATCAGGTGGCCAAAGTATTGGAGTTTCAGCTTCAACATAAGTCCTTCCAATGGATATTCAGGACTGATTTCCTTTAGGATGTACTGGTTGGATCTCCTTGCAGTCCAAGGGACTCTCAAGAGTCTTCTCCAACACCACAGTTCAAAAGCCTCAGTTCTTCGGCACTCAGCTTTCTTTATGGTCCAACTCTCACATCCATACTTGACTACTGGAAAAACCATAACCTTGACTAGACAGACCTTTGTTGGCAAAATAACGTCTCTGTTTTTTTATATGCTGTCTAGGTAGGTTGGTTACAGCTTTTCTTCCAAGGAGCAAGCTTTTTTTAATTTCATGGCAGCAGTTACCATCTGCAGCGATATTGGAGCCCCCCAAAATAAAGTCTATCAGTGTTTCCACATCTATTTATCATGACGTGATGGGACCAGATGCCATGATCTTAGCTTTCTGAATGTTGAGTTTTAAGCCAACTTTTTCATTCTCCTCGTTCACTTTCATCAAGAGGCTCTTCAGTTCTTCTTCACTTTCTGCCATAAAGGTGGTGTCATCTGCATATCTGAGGTTATTGATATTTCTCCCAGCAATCTTGATTCCAGCTTGTGCTTCATTCAGCCCAGCATTTTGCATGATGTACTCTGCATAGAAGTTAAATAAGCAGGGTGACAATATACAGCCTTGACGTACTCCTTTTCTTATTTGGAACCAGTCTGTTGTTCCATGTCCAGTTCTAACTGTTGTTTCCGGACCTGCATATAGATTTCTCAGAAACCAGGTCAGGTGATCTGGTGATCCCATCTCTTGAAGAATTTTCCAGAGTTTGTTGTGATCCTCACAGTCAAAGGCTTTGGCATAGTCAATAAAGCAGAAGTAGATGTTTTTCTGGAACTCTCTTGCTTTTTCAATGATCCAACAGATGTCAGCAATTTGATCTCTGGTTCCTCTGCCTTTTCTAAATCCAGCTTGAACATCTGAAGTTCACAGTTCACGTACTGTTGAAGCCTGGCTTGGAGAATTTTGAGCATTACTTTACTAGCGTGTGAGATGAGTGCAATTGTGTGGTAGTTTGAGCATTCTTTAGCATTGCCTTTCTTTGGGACTGGAATGCAAACTGACCTTTTTCAGTCCTGTGGCCACTGCTGAGTTTTCCAAATTTGCTGGCATATTGAGTGCAGCACTTTCACAGTATCATCTTTTAGGATTTGAAATAGCTCAACTGTTGAAATAGGGATTCCATCACCTCCACTAGCTTTGTTCATAGTGATGCTGCCTAAGGACCACTTGACTTCTCATTCCAGGATGTCTGGCTCTAGGTTGATGATCACACCATAGTGATTATCTGGGTTGTGAAGATCTTTTTTGTATAGTTCTTCTGTGTATTCTTACCACCTCTTCTTAATATCTTCTGCTTCTGTTAGGTCCATACCATTTCTGTCCTTTATTGTGCCCATCTTTGCATGAAATGTTCCCTTAGTATCTCTAATTTTCTTGAAGAGATCTCTAGACTTTCCCATCCTACTATTTTCCTCTATTTCTTTGCACTGATCGCTGAGGAAGGCTTTCTCATCTCTCCTTGCTATTCTTTGGAGCTCTGCACTCAGATGGGAATATCCTTCCTTCTCTCCTTTGCCTTTCCCTTCTCTCTCTTCTATTCACAGCTATTTGTAAGGCCTCCTCAGAAAACCATTTTGCCTTTTTGCATTTCTTTCCCTTGGGGATGGTCTTGCTCCCTGCCTCCGGTTCAATGTCACAAACCTCCATCCGTAATTCTTCAGGCACTGTGTCTATCAGATCTAACCCCTTGAATCTATTTGTCCTAGGGGAAGAGAATGTCCACAAGCACTTGTGGGCTGTGTATGGTACCTGTTCTCCAATATTTCCAAGAGTAAGTAAGCAAAAATAAACAAACATGGGGCACACTTTCAGGAAGACAATTTCAACAGGTAAGTAATTTCAACTCACATTGTTTAAAAATAAATAAAGCACTTGCAAATGTACGAGACATGGTGAATTATCAGAGACATGCAAATCACAATCAAGAAAGATATCCCCTTCTTAGTGGGCTAACTAGCCATAATCAAGACATCTCCAGACAATAAAAGCTACAGTGGGACGAAGGTAAGGGGACCATCCTCTGTGCCGCTGAAATGTCCACGGTAACAGCCACCGGAGAGAACAGCGAAAGGACCTTTAACAGCAGTAAGAGGACAGCTGCCAAATATTCGGTCCTGCTCCTCAGAGT